CAATTAACAAGAGGCTGAACCAATTCACAATACGCTAAACCAATTAACAAGAGGCTGAACCAATTTACAATATGCTAAACCAATTAACAAAAGGCTGAACCAATTTACAATACGCTAAACCAATGAACAAGAGGCTGAACCAATTTACAATACGCTATATCAATGAACAAGAGGCTGAACCAATTCACAATACGCTAAACCAATTAACAAGAGGCTGAACCAATTCACAATACGCTAAACCAATTAACAAGAGGCTGAACCAATTCACAATACGCTAAACCAATCCACAATACGCTAAACTAATTCTAAATACGCTAGGCCATTCCACAATACGCTAAGCCAATCCACAATAGGCTGAACCATTTAATAAACGCTAAACCAATTCACAATACGACTAAACCAATTACAATGCGCTAAACCAATTCGCAATACGCTAATCCAATCCACAGTAAGCTAAACCAATTTGCAGTACATCGAGTCTGATTTCATGTAACGGCTAAACCAAATCTGTTTTTCGCTAATCTAGCTGCCCCACTGGTTAATCCATTTCTATCTGTGCTAAACCGTTCGTTGTTGCGCAGTTAAACCAATTCACCTTATTCTGCACCGTTTTACAAAGGAAAGCTGAATTATTTTTATTTAGGATAGATTGTTAGTGGAATTGTTGTACCGTTTTGTGGTCGAGGACTACACAATTTTAACATTGTCTAAGCCGTTTATCAATTGAGTTTCCACTTGACCGCAGGATACTTGTCTAAGATCAAAAGGCCACCAAATGACAGGCAAATTAAGTATATATATTCTTTACTTATTTCATTAAAAGTATAGGACAAATAAATGAATCCTTTATTAAAGGATTGAATTCCACATAATTTGGAACTCCATACAACGACTTATGAAGCTCAAATAACTCTCAACGGTCGGCAGTGGTATTATATCGCAACACCACCGGCTTACTTCCAAGAGCCACGTCTCCCTTGTAACACGCAGTCGTGAGTTTAAGTTGCCTGTGGCCACACCTAAAATTTTAAATTACTTCCCCTCTACCCTCGCCATCAGCCCATTCCCCTTGCTTCCTTTCTAACTGCTTTTCCTCCTTGGAACAGTCTACAATTTATTTCTAATTATCTCGTGTTTTAAAAGAATCCAGGTTTACAAAAAAAAACCCTCCACGTTTGATCGGCTTGTCGCCATGATTTTGTACACCTCAGCAGAGTTATCGAATACTTTTCTCATACAAAGTCGTTTTGTTAAACCTGCAACTGGTAAGCAACTATCCAACACAGACCAGGTTACCTTAGGCAGATTGCACAGTCCGCATGTGTGTTAATAATGCCTTAATCAACCACGTGTCTGTTAATTTTCAGCTATTTCCCCTTTGACCCTCCTTATGTTACGGATGAGCTTCGGGAAGCCGGATCTTTCCAAAACGCAATGTGTTTCGAGTATCGTTGAAGAGCAGGGTTGTTTCCAGACAGAACTCAGGATCGCCGGTAACAGCAACAAACTAATTTATTTCCGTAAGGTAACTTCGCGAATTTACAGCACTAAGCTTCTTCGAATCTGAATCAATCTCTCTTACAGCAGAGCCTCTCGCTCTAATATACATGAGGCTTAAAGTTCTAGAAACTTCTATTTGGAACTAAATTAAGTACTTTGACACAGTTTCTAATCTGAGTAATTACATAAGTATTAGAATGTTCTGGAATGTCCTTATACAAATTGGTCACGGCTGAATGACTTCAGGTTCTAGATTGTTCTAGAACTAGACTTGGACAATTTTTCGTAACACAATGCAGAAATTGAGATCACAGATGGACAGCTTGCAAACGGAATTGCAGAACTCCGTCCCATTTTTCAGCTCAAAATACAAGCTGAACTTAACAGTACTGTAACAAGAACCATATTTATGGAACTAGCTGATTTATGTTACATTTTGAGTTTGGTCAAGTTACGACATGCTAGTAAGTCATTCACGCGTTCTGCTCTATTGGATGAGGCCGCGTGGCCGAGTGGTTTAGGGCGCTGGATTTGAAATATGGAGGTCCTCCATCCACCCTACCGCTATTTGTTTTCGGTAGCCCCGAGTTCAATTTCTCGACCGCGTTGGGTAAATAACCAGCTGGTCAGCCTCCCGCCAGTTGGGATTGTTAATAGTTTATGTTCTATTTGAAATATTTGTTTATTTATTTACAGTGTCCCCAATAAGCCACGTTCGATATATCAATATTCTAACATAGCTCCGAAGCTTTCGGCTCAAAATTGCAAATTTTTTCAGTTCCTTTTGTCTCTCAGCACCGAATATGGACGTTTGACCTGAAAGCCTCGGAGCCATGTTAGAATATTGATATATCGAAGGTGGCCTATAAGCACGTTAGTGCTAAATACATTTGACACTTGAATAAAATTTACTTATTTATTTGGATTTCATGTAGCGTTGACGGTACCT